GAGTGCACAACCATGGGATGAGAGATGGACCAACTAGCAGCTGCCTAAGATGAAAAAAATATGAGAGTAGATACCTGAGAGGAACAAATAATGAAAAAAAAGAGGCTGCAAAAGAGTTCTATGTTAGGAAATTTTAGAATTACAAAACTAATAATGGATGTTTTTAAAAATTATAAGTTAGATGATATTAAAGTTTAAGCAGTTTAAATTTGGGAAGAAATTGGGTCTTTTAAAAATAAAATGACTCGAATAAATTAAAAATATAAAAGGGTGTGTATATACTACTTTTTAATAGCATTTACTTCTGGAAAATTATACTAGATCATTACTAGAACTAGAATGTTGGTGGCCTGAAAGTTTTTAAAAAATGAAATAAATATTTATATTATGAATAAAATAAAATGTAAACAAATATTTTAAATGCTGGATAAATAAATTAAATGCTGGAAATAAATACATTAAATGCTAAAATTCATGCTAGTTTGTTAAAAAAAATGCTCTTTAAATGACAAATTTATTTATTGAAAAGAAAAAAAAAAGAAAAACATAGCTAAAAAAAAAAACCAAAATACAAAAAAAAAAAAAGTCACCAGCATTCTAGCTCTAATAATAGTTTTAAGGCTTATTTCCCACTTGTGGACACAAGTGGGAAACATGATCTAGATAATTTTCCACTCCTCGCCCAACATTTAACATCATAATTTGTCCCTCAGTCTCGGCCTGAATACTTCGCAATAATGTTATCATTGCGAAAATATTAAGCCGAGATGAGGCACGTTTGTTTATCTTAGAGTGCCACCCCTCAAGGTTATTATTCGTTCTCTCATTTCCACTCTCATAGTGATTCCATATGGACCTGAAAAATAAAGTATATGATTAATGTGATATATAGTATAAGAGAAAACTTTATTGTTAATTTCTGATTGTGCACTTGAAAATTATGCTAACAGAAAAAGATTTTTTTTCCCCCAAAGAGATTACTATACTGCTATATTTTAAATTAGTTATGGAGATGAAAGAGATTTTGAGATAAAATATAATCTCCTGTATAAAGTCCTAACTTTTTATAGTTATTTTGCTGTCTTGAATTCAATTTTTTAATGTATATTAAAAACAAAAAATTGTTATTTTCAAATTTTGCTTTTAATTAAACAACTTTGTAAAATTTTTGGATCTCAAAGAACTTTCAATGTAATCTGTAAAGAATGCATACCCTCCAACTGCTACGGCATTTCCATAGTTTCAGAAATCTTCTTTTCAGACGGTAGAAAAATTAATGTCTTAATATTAAAAAAAAAATAATTTTAGCGTAACTTGTCCACTATTACTTATAAAAGTGCAGGCCATATGGCTAGACTCTTAAGTTCTGATAAAAGTTTTATGAGAGATCCATTTGCTTTAAAAATGTCTACTTTGGTTCGCTACCACTAGAAAGAATTATTTTCAAAATCTTCATAAGTTGGAGGGTATGAGAATGGAACATTTGCTCTTAAACTTTAGAAAAATTTCTTAAACTTTCTCACTTTTACCGTTTCTTCTCATCCACTTAAGTTTTTTAATGCATTATAGTCACTAGGAAAAAAAATTACTATTGTCCTCCAATAATGAGAAGGGCTATTTAAGCAAGAAAGCAGAAATTGTAAATCAAAACAGTACTCCCCTTAGCCCTTTGTTATTTTTTAGCTTTTTACAGTAATTTTAAACTTGAATAGAAAGCACATCTCATCATATCATTTCACAATTACAGTTTTTATAAGTAATTGATGGAAATACTCACATGTGAAATGCAGCATCCGAGTCATCCAAATAGGTTTTGATAATGTACTGGTTCATGCGATGTGTGGCATTCCCTGGAGGAGCATCATGTTCCAGCCAGATCCAAGCATTGCCCATCTCTTTGGGAGGGACTAGTGGCAAAGCCACTAGTCGACGAACCCACCTGGTGGTTTGTGGGTCGTGCTTGTATTGATGGACAAGCCCCAATTTTTGCACCTGAAAGAAACGGATTTTTTATATTTTCCCCAAATACAGAAAAAAAAGTCATCATAAACTTTTTGTAAGGCTAACAATATCTCTGAAGCAAATTCTGCTCAATTTACACAGGAACTTGATGTTTGCATTTTCTCAAACTTCAACATCCCGATCACCACACACTGATAGGTGTACCTTCATCTTCCGTCACAGTGCATGTTGTGAATTTCAGTAGTAAACAAATCAGTTAAATATATCTTGGTTATACAGGATTCCAGGAACTTTTAGACAGCCCCGCGTACATGAAAGCAATGAGGAAACTTTAAACTTACATTTAACAGAAATAAAATTTTATGATATGTTATATTTACCTTCCGCCAAACACTTTGAGCGAAGTGGAAGTAACAGCCCTTAACTTCAATGTCGAGGAACACTTCATCAAGGGCATTTATCACTCCCACCTCAAAGTTGAGCATGCTAGAGGAAGGTGCAAAATCGAGGCCAGCATCCCTTGCTGCTGCTTTGATCTGCTGGANTAAGTGTATTAGTTATCTACAGCCCAAGATCTTTGGAAGAGAAAACTAGATGAAGGCAAGAACAAGAAGCCGAAACAAGGTAAGATTCCTTGTTGATATATATTGAATCATTAGAAGTCTTTGTTTAGTATTCGTTATAATATCCCCAGATTCTGAATTGTACTGAAAACCTGAAAAAAATTTATTTTACTTTTACTATAAATCTGTTATAATCTCTAAACAACTAAGTTCTAAATCTATGCATTCTATTGATCATTTTTGATAATGAAATTACATTATGATTTGTAATTATACTTTGTGTGATTAAAAATCATAATAATATTCATAATGAATCATAATTATATACTTTGTGTGTATAATATGCATGAGCATAATTTTTTATGAAACAAGTTTCTTTTTTGTAGATACATCGATATATACGATTTTAAAATGGCCTATGAGGGCAGGTAAAAAATTTGCCCTGAGTCGCTACAAGAGCATGCTGTGTGTCATAATCTTAAACAATGGGGTGAAAGCAATGTTCAGCACATTTGCATATGTTTACCATGTCAATGTGATCATTGGAGACGATCGACGCATAAAACTGTACGAAATTGCAACATGCTGAACATTTTTTACAGCAGAGTGTTCTCCGTTGTTCACGAAGACCTCGAATTTTGTAAAATGTGTTAAATAGTTTCAGCTGTAGATCATCACCAGGATGAAATGTGGAACCACCACCTCACACTTGAAACAACAAGAACTTTGATAAAATAAGGGAACTCCTCATAACAACAATCAAATAAGACCAAAATCCAGCAGGAAAGTTTATTTCAATGGCGTTTATTTTACTTGGAGGGTATGGTGCACATAGAATTTCTACAGAAAGGCATGATAACCAACTCAGTTTCGTATTGCTAAAAGTTGAGCGAGCTATAAGTGATAAAAATTGAGTATCAGTGTGATTTTGTTGCACGATAACTCAACACCTCACATGGCTGCCAAACATATGAACTGAGACAGCGATTTAAATGAAAAATATGGCAACAACCTCCATATAGTTCAGACTTATCAAAATGTGATTTTCATGTTTGAAGTAGTTGAAAGGATCTTGGCGAACGACAATTCAAATGTAATGTTGCTTACATTCCACAGATATTTCCTAAACTATTCCTTATTTAGCCTAAAAATCTGACAAAGACTAAGGAATGTATAGGAAACTTATGAAATGATGTATAAACATAAAATAATTTTTTTTTTATTCATATGTGTTAAGTTGGAAGAAGGAAAACGAAACTTAGTGTTTTAGTTGTGCGCTTTACAAGATTCTGGTTGTTAAAACAATCAGCTTTGCTAACTAAAAAACTGTGTGTTTAGATTGGAATTCTTAAAATGGTTTTATTTCAAATAAGAATTTCAATAAGAATTCAAATAAGAATGCTATTTGATTCTTTGTATCTTAAAAATTAACTTTTGCTTTGTTTCTAAAATATTCAATGCAGTTTTGCAAAGAATAAATTATACATCCTACAAATACCTGTTGTGAAATATTCAGTTTAATTAGTGAATTTTTATCTTCTATTTCAATAAAAATTATAAGAGAATGAGCACTTTTGGCAGCCACTATATTAAAAAAATCATCTGAAAGGATTTTCCTCCCAACAAGCAGGCTTCATGATTTTTTTGATTCTTTTTAAAAAAAATCAGATTTTTTAGATTTTCATTCTAATACTTTGTAAGAACTTTAATTTATGCTTAAAAATACTTTATAAATGTTTAATCAAAATTAAATTAATATTAAAACAATATTTTAGAAGCTCTAACTTACTAATATAATTTTTCATTACAATACATAGCTTCAAATGCATAGTAACCATTTTGAAACAAATGCATAATATAAATTTGAAGACTAGATGAAATAGAGAATTTAATGAAAGGGGTCTGTCTAGGTTTTTCTGAGAGGTATTTATTTTGTGAAAATTTAGACACAATTTGTGAAAATTAAAAATAATATTAAAAAATCAACACAAAAATATGGATTTATTCGTTTATTACGAAACACAAAAATGAAATTTAAGTTCTTAAAGTTGAATTTGTGAAGGTACCCTAAGCAGTAGTAAATTTGGCTTGGACAGACTTTTTAACTATTAAATTAAAGTTTCAATTAGCAAACCATAATTTTAATTTAAAATTGTGTATTTTTTTCTCATGATTTCTAATATGACAAAATAAATGTAACAGATTGTGTTTATAAATGTAGTCATTCATCAAAAAATAAATAAATATTTAATCTATATATTTTTATATTAAAATATTCATTTTTAATCCTATATCAAAATTGATCAGCTAAAAAAAATCTTTGTACTCATTGGAATTTTTTTTTCACAAAATTTCTTTATAGAAAATCTGATAATGTCAAAGATACTGTAAACATATTATGAGAAAAAATACCAGTTAATAAGTCTACTGCCTCAAATAGACTTTGAAAGGGAAGAATGACACTATATCAGGAAGAAAATATCTGAGCTCATTAGCCTTTTTTTTTCTATCTTTGGTATATTGGGGTAATTTCTTTTTAATGTAACCTCAAGCTTTAGGAATATACATTTTCCACCAATGAAATATATTGTAGATTTTAATTCCATGCTGTTTCATTCAAAAAGTAGAATTTTAATTAAGATTATTTGCATTTTTTTCCTTCAAAATTCATGTCTATTAATTACTCTCTACAGCTATGCAAGTCTATATTAAGACAGCATTAAATCAAAAGATTTTAAAAATGTAATTTCAAATGTGTTGGAATTTATCACACACCAAGAAAGAAAGTAATTTCGTTAACTAAAATGAACTAACACAGCAATTTATTTAAAATAAATTTTAAAACTAAGAAAAGAAAATAATAAAAGTATCAATAATTTAAAACACTGTGTTTTAACTTTTAAAATCAATACATATATTAAAAAAAATCAGTTGATTTAAATCAATGATTTAAAAAAAAAATCATTTGATTTAAATCGTGATTTAAATCAACGAACCCTGACAACAAGTAAATGTAAAATTATATTTTTAGATTATTATTTATTAGATTAGATTATTATATTATATTTAGATTTTATAGTGAAAAGTTTGAACAAAAGAATTTATTAATTAAAATAAAGTGTAAAACTATATTTGGGTCAAAATTCTCTAAATGTAAAGTAAGGAGTGAAAAAAAAATGTGGGAAGATAATTTTTGTTTAATTTCAGAAAATTTAGACAATGGTTATTAAGATATATATTTACCAGAAATCTTTCAGATCCCTGCCCATTGTCAATCAACAGGAATTTATTTCCGCCTGTCGTTCTTTGCCACTCTTCTGGGAGATTAATATCATCCACAGAATGTGGCAAGGCAGGCATCGTTGAATGACGGGATCTATACATTTTTTTTGAAAGTGAGGAAAATCTGGGAATTGCGGCAGCAGCCTTCAGGGACAACGCATGCTTACCCACAGCTTCACTATGAAAATTAAAGTAAAAAATAACAATCAATCATTAAGTAGAAAAAATATTATGCACTTATGATATAGCAGCTGCAAGCATGCTTACAAATTAGAAAAAATATTTATTTTACTAAGATAAATAATATTTTTTGCCCTATAAGAATTGTTCCTTTCCCAAAGAAAAACATCTCTTTTTAGTAAGGGAAATTGAAACTATTCTTATTTATATGGGAATATACAATATATTAATGACTATGTTTGTACTCTGTTTATATAATTTTTTAAATATAAATCTACTCGTTTACTTCAATTATAATTAAATTTGCCTAATTGACAAATTGAAGTAAAAAGAAATTCATGTTGATGTTAAAGCATTCACATTCATTATATTCAACAAGATGTGTGGAACAGGGCCTCATTTAACCTCTGAGGATAGAGGAAGTTCTAACTCGTTTCCTCATTTTGCGTTTGGGAAGTTTTCTTAAATTCTATGCACATTAATATTAAACTTACTAATACAACAAATATTAATTCCAAAAGTGGCTAAAAAGCTTTAAAATTTTCCCCCTCCCCTATCATGACATATTCAATATAGTAAATGGTAAAAAAATTATTGAAAAAGCAATTTAATTGTTACTAATGTCTGGTATTATTAACATGCAAATAAGTTAAATATTTGAATTTTAAAGAGAGGAATCAGAAATTTCTTTAAAGTCATCTTTAAACTGTTTAACACTTGATATTCTTAATTATATTATATCCATTACTTTCATCTCTTTTCTGTCGTACTATATGGTTGAGACATCAGATTTAACATCTTACAATATGCAGTTCATAGAATTTATTAAATTTATATATTAATAAATTCCTATAGATTTACTATATATCTATTCATGATTTAACAGGATATCTTTCTGTCAATAGACCATCAGTAAGCTGGTAAGTTTATCTATCAAAGTGAGTTTATAAAATCAAATTAATTCGAACATTCTTAAGTAAGTCTATTTCTTTAAAAGCGTTTTTGTCCACAATAATCTAATAAAATTTGATTCAGTATTATCATTTGTCTTTAGTGCTCCCAAAAAAAAAAAGATCTTGTGTATTATTTGGGTTTGTTTATTAGCTATCAATGTGTATATTGACAAAAGCTAGATAGATCTGAAAGTGATATGGGGAAAAAAAAGTTAATTTACTACAGAGTATAGGGAAAGACAGTGTAGCTTGAACTTGGCTAAAATATTTTATTACTATGAAAATATCTTCTTTTTTTTTCCTTCTCCCCATTAACATGTAGTTAATTCACAGTTCTACTCTTAATAATAATTTGAATTTATTTGCATTTTTTCAGTGGTAAAAAAAAAAGATTATTTACATATATATATATATATATATATATATAAAAATTTATTTTGCAGAAGTCAAGTTACAAGCCTTAATAATGTTACATAAAAAGTTCTTAAATAATTTAATTGCATCTGATTTAAAAGGATAAATTTTATTTACAAATTTCAAGAATTAAGCTTACCTAATTTTATTCACTTAAAATTTGTTAGAAATAAACTCATTAGATAAACAAATCAAGAGCCCATTACATAAACTCATCAAGCATATTTTCTTCTGAATTTGCTGACTATGAATTAAGTAGCTAGTTTATTGTTAATAAAATATAAGCATAGTTAATAAAAAATAGATCATAAAATATTAATCATAGTTAATAAAAAATATTTCAGTTTCATTCAATTAGAATTGAAAGAATATTTAATTTTTTTTTTAATTTAAAATTTGTCAAAATATAAATTCTAAACTTCTTTTTTTAGTTAATTTAACACAAACATGAACTTAAAATTTAATTTCATTATAAAAGACATTTCATTAAATTAAAACTTACTCGTACAAACGTTTAACAGGTGTTGTAATTCTCTCAACAGCTTGTTGCTCCATGTCTTCAGAAAAGGTCATATACTTAATCTTTTCAGAATCATCCGCATGGTTATGCTCTCCTTCCTTTAAAATTATCGTATCATCTTTAATGCGGAACCTAGCTCCGCAATGTGGCCTCAAATGCCGGCATCTCCAGAATTGCGTGTCATTGCTTGTTCGTTTTAGGATGGAATTCAACTGCAACATCGACTGTCTTAAGACGGGTGAAATCGTAACTTTCGCAATGCATGATGGGAAATCTCGTAAGTTTCAATTCAACTGAAACACTTACGTTGAAAAAGACAAATCGGTCTTAAGACGGGTGGTTCGACTGACTTAAGACGCTCTAATCCAATATGGCGTTTGTGTTGTTTTGTTATGATGATCCGTTGGTGATCATGAAACAAAAGTTACTTGCTAATTCTTAAATATTATTAATTTAATCCTTCTCATTTATCACTTTGCACTTGTTATTAGTAATAATGTCTACAAAATTTGTTTTAAAAAGATAAGTAAATACGAACCTAACACCTTATTTTTACTCTTATTCCTGTAAACAAAAAAGTATGTTTAATTTTATTTTTCCTGAACTGAAGTTAAGAGTTCTATTGCTTAATGTGTGCATATTAAACTCTTTTGTATGTAAATTTTATTTGACTATTTTTTATATCTTCATCAAAGTTGTTTGCTGTATGTTTTAAACTAAAGCTATTATCGAATATAAATTTTTCTTAAAAGTACACGTTTCATACGTAAGTAATTTATTTGATTACAAAGCGAGTAATCTTACGAAATTTAGTTAAAATTGTATCGATACACATTTTGTTATCTTTATTATTGTACAGTTATAAATTATGCTTATTTTTTATTGATAATCTATTTGAGTTCTTAGGTTTATAAAATTTAAAACCCCTTAATGATTCTTGGTTTATAATAATTATTATTCATTTTATTTGTTAATAACTTTTAACACTTTATCTTTTTAGATTTAACTGTTGCTAACATTTAATACTACAAAGTGCACTAAATTTTTACCTTTTAAACTAAGAATAACTTTTTTCATTGTTTTTTTTAAACTATTTATTTTTGTAGAAAAGTTGGTTTTGTATAAAGATATATTTATTGAAATCCTATCATAAAACATGTTTAACAATTTTAGAAGTACAATTACTGAATTTTTAAACTTATATGTTCATTAAAAATATGGGATTATTTCTGTATCATGATTTGTCATGCCAACTACAATTGCTAAAGTCCCAAATAGCTTTTAAACTTGCAAATTTTTGTAAGAAAGAAAACGTGTAGATATTTGCCCGGGGGTGGCTACGAGTTATACTTTTTGTGATGTTTTTGTTTCTCGTGTGCCACTGCCCAGAAATTGCCGAGACTTGGCAATAAATTACGATCCGAAAATCTCCCAAAAAATATTGGCTGTGTGAATTTATTTTATTACAGACATAACTGCTGTTTATGGATGTAAACTTTACAGAAATTTGGAAGTGAAATGCTTACAAGCTTGGTAATTTATGCTTTTGTGATGGTGTAATAAAAAATTGCCATACACTCTAGCAGAAATTTGTTGGCTTGTTTTAAAACATCCAGGAGTGATTGAAGATCAGGATACAATCATTGCCAGTTTTTGAAGTTGAATAGTCTGTCTTTTATTGTTAGGTAAGAGTGCTTATAATTGATTCAAACAATTATTTAAATTTTTTAATTAAATCCCAATTAATAAAAACTAATTGCAGATTTGCAATTAGTTTTTATTAGTTAAGATTTATAGGTCTCTTTATTGGGTTATATTAAATGAATAGTATTTAGTTGATGACTTGTTTTATATGTGTATCAAAAATTTTAAAAATACTGTGATCAAATTTTAAATTGCCTTATCACATATAGTATGCAAAATATATGTATTGTATTCTCTGTTACGAAGAGCATACTAATTTCCATAAATAAGTGCTGTTATGTATGAGTACTTGAAACAAATATTGGATAATATACCAAAGGCATTTTTTTATACAGATTTCATTATTTATGTTACCAATTGGTAAAATTATAAAATAAAAATAATCTTAATAATTTTTAAATGGTGAATTTTAACTCAAATGCTAAACTCTTAATGTTGAATAATAACATAAAATTTTTAAAAACGAAAAACAACGTTAATATTCTAAACTCAAAATCATGGAAAAATTTAATGAGCACTTTCGAGCGCATTTACTGTTTCATGGTATTTAATTTAAAAGATGAGACTTGAAAATTTTTGACAGAATTATTTCCATATTTTGATAGCTATTCCTCTTTGATTTTACTTGAATAAATTTGGGTTAAGAAATTAGCTCTTGTAATTCTGTTGCTAAATGTTTTGTTTTTTCTTTTAAAAAATGACAAGTGGTGAAAACCCTAATTAATATTTAAAATTACTATTAGTATTAATATTTTTAATGAAAATTTCACTAATTGAGAAAAAATTTAAAGTTATATTACATAAATAAGATTCAGAAGTAGTCTGTCTTTTACTGTTAGGTGCATGTTAAGAGTAAATTGAAATTTAAAATTTCTTAAATTTTTCAGTTCTTGCAGATTAGCATAAAGTAGTTATCAAATATGGTTTTTAAGTCAGTTTGTTTAGATACATAAAATAACTTGTATATATCACTTAGGCTATCGAAATACATATTTCTC